TGTAGTTAACAGGAGCAGTAAATAATTTTAAAGTACAAGAACATTGTCAAACTACTGGCTTCAAATCTCTCAGGAGCTAAGATCAAAGTATGATCACCAGAATTCAGATCCAGTCTAGGTGTGGGCACTGTTCATGGGAAGGACAGATCCCTTTAGATATGGTGTGACTGGAGGAGAAAATAATCAGGGGAGCTTTTGGAAAGATGATAAGGAGATCAAATTAAGTAAAAATAATTAGGAGTCCAACTCTGAAAAAAAAAAGACTACAGTTCTACATTGACAATTCTCCAAACTCTCCCTGCATAATGTGGGATCCAAATAACGGCAGGAGCTACTTTTCTGAGAGGTTTAAGACACCCATTTGTAACTTGAAAAAGGTCTGGGATGCATGGTGGAGTAAATTACAGTAGTGGTAAGACTGTACCAAATAAATTATTTGAATATTAGAGTACTAGTACCAAGAGTAAGTTAGTCCATAGAAAAATTGGGTTGTAGGTTTAATGCAAAGGAACTCTCTAACAATACAGTTTACTGAAATTAGTACAATGGACAGGTTTTCAGCAAAGGCCACCAGGAGATGTAGGTCTGGTAATGCTTCATGCATGTCTTCTCTGGTGTGCTCAGTTCATAAGATAATTACTTTACTTGGTAAAAAATTGCCTTTAAGAAGTCACATCTCCTAGATATCACATATGGGTACAATATCCCATTGAGTTTCATTACCATCTTGCTGCATCATTCACAGGTAATATGAAAATATCAGCAGAGCATTTCACAAAGCTAGTCAGCAAATCTGGGAACATGTGCAGTAAATTCTCTATAATATTAGAGTCTTAAAAAAAAGTAAACATAGCAGAATGGCCTGGAGATAATCCTAGAAAAGAGTGGAAGAAAAAGAAATCATGTCCTGGAATCCTTTGGTTGGTGGAGTTGCCTTCAAGTAACCACAGTATTTCTATCCTCAATGACTCTAAAATGTTAGGAGCCCTTATGGAAATAATGCCAGTACTGGTATGCGGGGAGTTAAAACCAAACCAAAACAACAGGAAAAGAGTTCCTAGGGAACAGACTACAAATACATCTTCCCTGAATCTTTAACAAAAGCCTCTAAGCTTCATCTTCACATTCTGATCTGGACTGAATTCAGAGGAGTGGAGTGTGAATGCCCAGTTTCCTAGGGAACATAGAGGCTCCCTAGGTGGCTTTAGCCTTAAACTCAGTGCAAGTCACCACACTCCCAGGGGGCTGTGAAATATATTTCAGATAGTTGAGGGTGAGCAGAGACTTTTGATGTTCTTGCACTCTTCTGAGGATGCCTCTACACTGTGGTGCCTTCTCTTTTCTGCTTTCCTGGAATCACGTGAGTTTGGCTAGGAAAAGCCTCTGAAAAAGGCATTTCTTAGCCCTCAAGAGAAGTTTTTCTGTACAAACTGGTTATGGAAAGTTGGCTTGAAAGTATGGAGAATAAGATTTAAAGACCAGGAAGGGAAATTTTCCTGAGTAGCCTCTCTGTAGAGTCTGATTTGGAATTTTAGTTAGCAGGCATCCTGAAACAGGAATTAGAGTTCGGCATTAGGCTGAGTAGTTGGAAAGGGGAACACAGTGGGGAACTGCCTGGAAAGGAAGAAGCAAGTGATATGTTAACCAGATGGAAGATGTGCAAGGCACTGTGAAGAAAGCTTATGGCATTTACTATAATATTCCTGAAATTACTAACAAGAAATCATTTCTCATGGAGCAGGGAAGGGGGAATTTGTGTGCCTAGTGAGATGGACAGACACTATAAAGATGAACACCATGAAACTAGGCAGAGGGAATCAGCAGAACCTTAGATTTCCTTCAGCTTTCCCCCTCTAGTATTCTGACATCAGGCAGAAGCAGCCCAAGTGTAGGTATGCTCTTGTGCAGGCAGGTTTACAGTCTTTAGTTTCCGGTACAGTTTCAGGGCATGGAAAACCTTTTTCAACCCCAGGCCTTCCCCCAGTTGTGATGTTAGAGTTTTTATCTTACTGAAGACATTGGCTTTAATGTCACAATAAGCATCAGGTTTGTGATTAGGTCAGAGGACAAGTTCAAACTGAGGTATGAGTGAGAATGGTCACAAAAGTTTATCAACATCACGGAATATTTTATATAAGGGGAGATGTGAGGCCACAGATCTGGAAGTTGGATGGAATAATGTTGGAGTGAGGGAACGGATAAGAGCACATGGCTGTGTGAAGGATTGGTATGTGCAAAGGTTGGGGGTTCCTAGAGGAGCCAAGAGGAACTGCCAGTAATGTTCACTTTCATCAATTAAATGAGGAGTGAATCTTAATCAAGTAATATGTGGTCATCTGTGCTCAGTTCAATTTCTTCAAGGAAAAAAAGTAATAAAGCATAAAGTCAGAGACGTAAAATGCAAAAGGAACCTCAAAAATGATCAGATTAAGCCTCCTGGCTATGAGTAAGTGAATTTGTAAGAAGACAAAAAACTGTAGGAGAACTGGCATAACCTAAAGAGTTCGGGTGATACAGTGAGTGGGGCCCCTCTACTTCTGTATTCTGAGTTCACGTCCATTATCTGTGTTGAGCCATCAGTTGAGCAGAGACCACATTCACTGGTAAATCAAATTTATGTCATATAAACCATAGCTGAGTGCATTCAATTTGGCTGAAAGCAATCAGAAAAATTGTTTTCCAAATGACTGTTGTATAGCCCTAGAAGGCATATAGAAAAAAATTACGAAGAACATGTGTTTACAGTTTATCAACAAGGTTTCCCTATAATGGAGCAAATAAGATTGAATGTAAACTAGCTACTCATATAAATACATATGTTAAGACAAGGTTCTAGCTGGTTAAGAAAACTGTAGTGAGGATTTGGCATTGGATATGAGATTTTTTTCTATTAAAATGAAAATGATGATAATAAATGACACTTGTTAAGCACCTTCTGTTGACCACACATTGTAGTAGGTACCTTTATTTAAATTCTCACCAGCTTGTAAAGTGTTATTTCCTTTTTGCTTATTAGAAAACTGTAAGGTTCTAGAGGAAAATCGAGTCATTCAAAGCATCACTGACAATATGAGGTAAACGCAAAGATTGGTTCTCAGTTTTGTGGGTTCCAATGCCTACATTTATTTTAACCACTACACTTTGCTGCTTTAAAATCCCCAAGATTTTATACCTCTGAAATAGCCTGCCTCTTCAAAGAATACATGAAGGCAATCATGTGATCTGGCATACATTCTTACCTGAATATTAGATGGAGGTCTGGAAAGTGCAAACGGTATCCGTAATGGTCACACATTGATCACATCCTGAGTTTCCCCTTAATGTATTTCTCTCTGGGAAAGATAAGCCTCTAGCTGAAATTGATTGGAACCTTATATCTTTGCTGCCTCTGCCTTCCTAGGAATAAGTTCACAGAGCAGTGTGTGCAAGACCCATCATGCACACCCCCGTTTTGAGGAGTTTATCCCTCTCTTTCCTGGAACTTGTATCATTCATTGACTCTGAGCTGTGATCAGATTAACACTGTCACCAAGTTCCTCTTCTTCAGTTAGTTCCTAAGTCTCTGAAAAGAAAAAATAATAGTTGATCTTGTTCACCAACATACTTGGGCTTTCTGCTGTGGTTTAGTCTTTTAAATCCACTTACATTCCAAAATAGGAACATCTGTGTGGTTTAAAAATGGAGAGCCTTCTTCAAATTACTGTTCTCAGTGACTAACTATGCAGAGTAGCTGGTCTGTTAAGAAAGAGGAGAGTTTAACTCTCCTCCCAGCTAACATGTGCACACCCAGAGAGAGAAAGATATGGCAGAGTTGATTCTCCTTTGATAACTATATTCTAACTCCCCACATTTCCTGGCTTCTTTGTATTGATCATCACAGTATCTCCAGCTTTAAAAATAAGGCTAGTTACATATGAGACAAATGTTAAATATTTGTAGTTGGACACATGGATTTGAACTTCCAGGCAGTGAAGTTCTCATATCCGTCTTGAAAACTTTTAGCTAAAATGATTTCTCAACTTTTATCCCAATGATTGCTCCTCTGTTTATTCCCATCACCATGAACCCACATACTCTGCATAATTCCTTGTACCTTAAGTACCACTTGCTGTGGATTGCTTCTCCTTAGGGCTGGGGTACTGGAAAGGTCAGGTAACTCAGAGAACAGCATACTTTTTTTTTCCATGTAAAGACATTAGTCATCACTGCCAGGTAAAGTCAAAGTACTCTTGTAAAATCACTTAGAAGGATTTGACTATGCCCTTTCTTAGAAATCAGCAGGTGCTGCGATGGAATGTGAATAAAGGATTGACCAAGAAGTGGGCTGAAAAAGCTTGGAATTTTCAGTTTCAGAAATAGAATGAAGTCCAAAAGAGTTACCTTCCATATTTAGGGGAAAGGATTGCTGAAGTATCTTATGAAATTTCAGATGAAGATTGAGCAGATGTATGTGAAAATATCTATATAGCTTAGTAAAAAGACTGGAAACAACTAGAGTAACATTAAGTTCAAAAATAATTACTAAGCACAGGGTCCCAAATTAGAACCTATTCCAACTTAAAGGACAAGAAAAAAAATGTCCAAGATTACCCAGTGAACTGTGTTTGTTGTTTGTGTCACTAAACAGATAGTCACACCTAATCTCTTCTTATACTCCATAAAAGTGTGTGTGTGTGTGTGTGTGTGTGTGTGTGTATTTATTCAGGTATATTCCTACAGCTGTGGTTAGAAGAAAATTCTAGTTTGTCTAAAGACTTATTTGAGCCCTTTTTCACATTCATTGTATTTAATAAGCATTATATATCAGGTATATTCAAAGGTCTTTGGAAATCTTTAGAGATATTTACCCATGTAATTCTCTTATCTGTGGGGAATAGATATGATTAGTATTACTATTTTAAATGAAGCTTTCTAAACGTAATATAGCTAGTAGGTGTTACTGTAGTCTCATTCCTATCTCTTTTCTATCTTGTTCCTCCAGGTAATGTGATACTATGTGGAGGTTTCTGACCATAGAGAATGTCCCACACTTTTGGGCACAACATGGAATCTCCTAATCTCACTGACATTGACCCTTCTGTCTTCTTCCTCCTGGGCATCCCAGGTCTGGAACAATTTCACCTGTGGCTCTCACTCCCTGTGTGCTGCTTAGGCACAGCCACAATTGTGGGCAACATAACTATCCTAGTTGTTGTTGCCACTGAACCAGTCTTGCACAAGCCTGTGTACCTTTTTCTGTGCATGCTCTCAACCATAGACTTGGCTGCTTCTGTCTCCACCATTCCCAAGCTACTGGCCATCCTCTGGTGTGGAGCTGGACATATATCTGCCTCTGCCTGCCTGGCACAGATGTTCTTCATTCATGCCTTCTGCATGATGGAGTCCACTGTGCTGCTGGCCATGGCCTTTGATCGTTATGTGGCCATTTGCCACCCACTCCGCTATGCCACAATCCTCACTGACACCATCATTGCCCGCATAGGGGTGGTAGCTGTGGTGAGAGGGTCCCTGCTCATGCTCCCATGTCCTTTTCTCATTGGGCGTTTAAACTTCTGCCAAAGCCATGTGATCCCACATACATACTGTGAGCACATGGCTGTGGTGAAGCTGGCCTGTGGAGACACCAGACCTAACTGTGTGTATGGGCTGACAGCTGCACTGTTGGTCATTGGGGTGGACTTGTTCTGCATTGGTCTTTCCTATTCTCTCATTGCACGAGCTGTTTGTCGCCTCTCATCCCATGATGCTCGGTCCAAGGCCCTAGGGACCTGTGGTTCCCATGTCTGTGTCATCCTCATCTCTTATACACCAGCCCTCTTCTCCTTTTTTACACACCGCTTTGGCCATCACGTTCCACTCCATATTCACATTCTTTTGGCAAATGTTTATCTGCTTTTCCCACCTGCTCTTAACCCTGTGGTATATGGAGTTAAGACCAAAGAAATCCGTGAAAGAGTTGTCAGGGTGTTTCAAAGTGGACAGGGAACCAGCATCAAGGCATCTGAGTGACCCTGGAGTATAGATGGGACTTAATCCAAAATAAAAGAAACTTTTCAAGATAAAGAATCCTCAGTATGTGAGACCAGAAAGAGCTTTTAAGAAGTAGACAAATGGGACCTAATCAAACTCCACAGCTTCTGCACGGCAAAAGAAACAGTAGCTAGAGTGAATCGTCAACCAACAGAATGGGAAGAAATTTTTGCAGTTTACCCATTTGACAAAGGGCTGATATCCAGAATTTACAAAGAACTCAAACAGATTTACAAGAAAAAAACAAACAAGCCCATTCAAAAATGGGCAAAGGATATGAACAGACACTTTACAAAAGAAGACATACATGAGGCCAACAAACATGAAAAAATGCTCATTATCACTGGTCATCAGAGAAATGCAAATCAAAACTACACTAAGATACCATCTCATGCTAGTTAGAATGGCCATCGTTAAAAAATCTGGAGACAAAAAATCCTGGAGAGAATGTGGAGAAATACGAACACTTTTACACTGCTGGTGGGAGTGTAAATTAGTTCAACTATTGTAGAAGACAGTGTGGCAATTCCTCATAGACCTAGAAATAGAAATTCCATTTGACCCAGCAATCCCATTACTGGGTATATATCCAAAGGACTACAAATCGTTCTACTATAAGGACACATGAACACGAATGTTCATTGCAGCACTGTTTACAAGCAAAGACCTGGAACCAACCCAAATGCCCATTGATGATAGACTGGACTGGAAAAATGTGTCACGTATACATCATGGAATATTATGCAGCAATCAAAAACAATGAGTTCATGTCCTTTGTAGGGACATGGATGAACGTGGAGAACATCATTCTCAGCAAGCTGACACAAGAACAGAAAATGAAATACCGCATATTCTCACTCATAGGTGGGTGATGAACAGCGAGAACGCATAGCCACAGGGAGGGGAGCACTACACACTGGGGTCTGTTGGGGGGAATAAGGGAGGGACAGTGGAGGGGGGAGCTGGGGAGGGATAGCATGGGGAGAAATGCCAGATGTAGGTGAAGGGGAGGAAGACAGCAAATCACACTGCCATGTGTGTACCTATGCAACTATCATGCATCTTCTGCACATGTACCCCAAAACCTAAAATGCAATTAAAAAAACCTCCTTTTTACTATATTATGCCATCCTAGAAAATAAAGTATCATTATTAATAAAAATGAGGGGGATAATGTCTTCTGCAGAACCTTCTAGACCATTTCCAAGAATGATAAATCACAGAGAAGGGCATTCTTTCTTTCCTTTCAGGGAAGTGTAAACAAGGGAAGATTCTTGGAACCTGGGTAATGTGCAGATACTGAAAATAACCCACTATGTTCTGGCGGGTTTCTACACTGTTGCAGTTTAGAAGAGTCCCTGCATAGCCATAGGATCTCTTCTCACTTCCTGACACTTTCCTAATATTCTAGGCATGGATTTCTAATTTTGTGCCTTGTGATACAGCAGCTATCTTACCAGCTGCAAGGATCAGAAGACAAGACAATATAGTCACAGTTAAAGAAGTTAGAGCTGCCAAAGATTTATTGTGCCTTAGCATAAACCCTGTATTTCTCCACTAGAGCTTCAAACCAAGAGGAGAAAAAAGATCCACCAATATCCACAATATTACTTAGTGGCAGAACAAGTGGTTGAAAACTGGAATCCTTTGGTATAAAACAATAGGGCTTCTATGAATGAGGGCACAAGAGAGGTTAGGAATAACTCTTCATTTCTAGACATTTTCTATCTATCTCACAGATATACTTCTGTCTTCAGCCTCTTGGGAACCAACCTAAGTCTGAATGACCTTGGATATCATCCCTCACAAGCAGTTTCCAAATATTCTTATACATACATACAATGGGAGGAACTTTCAGAAGTCATTGACTTATCCTTTGAACCTATAAGAAATGGTCACTTACCCAAGCCACTCAGAATGGGAATTCTTAACTATTAAATTATTCATTGTGTATGAATTCTTCTATTATTCATGATGTATGAATTATTCATTATGTATGAACCAGTTACTGTACATACCGAGCTTTCTGTCCATTCTCCAGCCCTGTCCACCCCGCCAAGTAGCTTCAGACGATTTATCAAATACATTCTCTTGACAAATTAGCACTTTCAATTTTGAGTTTGCTAATGGTACACATTTTTTGCTTGTCAGCTACTCAGTATACTATCCTACCCTGTTAGGTTGAGGGATTATAAAGCTACCTTGTGGACATTCGCAGACACTCCCATCCTTGGCAAGCATCAGTCCTGAGGTTGAAAGCCAATGTCCAGCTCTTAAAAGCTCTCAGTCTCTGTCAGGAATATAAGTGCTTTATTGGGATACTTCAAATGTGTTTGGATAAACAGTGTGAAAATAATGAAATTCAATAAAGTAGGCTGATACTGTCTATTTTTCAAAGAAAAAATAATCATCACTTTTTATAGGGAGAGTGCCAGTATATGGGCTGTCACTGCTTCTAATTTTTTTATTCTAATAATCAAATCAAGATATTCTTAATAGATTTTTAAGAATTACATACAATGCCAGATATAGTATGCACCTAAAGTAAAATAAATAATTATAAAATTAAGAATTATATACAATTCTAAACACTACAGTTTATCAACTAAATTACTTTTATGTTCTCCAAATTGACAATCTTTCTAGCACAAAAACCTACAACCCCAACTCTGTAAGAATCTTATACTGTGTCATGGGTTTCTATACTTTGTAGAACGTTTCTAAGGTATATTGTAAGCAATATACTAGTAAGCATTGCTTGTTCATAACTTCTCTCTTGAACTTAAATCTAAATGCTAGATGTGTATGTGTTTACCTTTTATGGTTTTCGATAATAAGTTTTTATCATGATCAACCCCTTATATACCTCCTGCCACTCATGTCTGTAATATTACATTAGTTTAAATTCCATAAAAAATGAAATGACTAGGAATAAACTATCTTGAATTCTAATCCTCATATAATCTTTTAATGTGTATAGCCATTATTTCCTCCTTTCTTGCTATATTTATTACTAATTTCATTTTCTTCTCAAGAAAGCTTCTTATGATATGCCCTTGAACACCTAGACCCTTCTTGCATTTCTTCAGTTTATAATCTGTTTGAGTTTACTGGCACCTTTGCCCAAAGAAAAATTTTACTTAACCTTAGTGATTTTTTTAATGAAAGTTTATAAAACATATTTTTGGAACTAATTTTTGCTGCATTCTTATGTCCTATTATTTTCTTACATTACAATCTAACTTCAACCAGAAGTTGATGTTTCCAGAGAAATACCTGTCATCAAAGTCAGCAGTCACCATTTTTAACTGAACTATCTTAAATCGTGTTATATTATGACCTACTTCTCCAAAGTCTATCTAACTGTGATTTCCATGATCCCACACAATCCCAGCTTTTCTTCCAGGTTTCTAATGTTTTTCATCCTCTTCTCCTTATTTTATTTTTAATGAACCTGACTTAAGTATTGATGTTTCTCAGAGTTTCATCTTTGACTAAGTTTTCACTCATTCCAATCTAAGTCCATAACAATGGGGGCTATGAGAGGAAGAGCTGAAAACCCAGAAGTGTCAAGGCAGAGGTCTTCCTGCAGGAGAAAGCATGTAGATATCTTTATGGAAAACTCTGTGCTCCTTATTGCACTAGGAAACTTCTTTTGCCCTTTCATTTCTTTAAATTATGACTGATGGCATGCTTAACTAATTCCTGCCCACTGTCATTATCTCTTGCTTCTGATGATATAATCTTGAACTCAACTTGATTATAAGGAGACTTCAGATTATGTTAGTATTTAGAATCTGTTCCTTGTAAGATTAAATAGTGGGTAATTGTTTTTTGTTTGTATAACACTACTTAGCATCATTTTTTTCCCCTGCTTTTTCTTGGTTTGGTATGACTGGTTATTTGACTCCAAGGATGGTACATAACCCAATGGATAAGGGCAAGCAACAGAGCTCACCCTACTGACTTGTGATTTGACACAGGAATAAATCCATGACTTAAGTTGGTGGCCTGTGAGTCTGCTCTTATATTAGAAATTTGAGAAACAGGCATATTTCTCATTGGTGTTGTTTGCTGGTAGAATATAAATGGAAATGTCAGTTGCCATTTAGCAATCATTTAAGAAGAATCTGTCTGTGGGCAAATACAGAATAAAGCAGAAACAAATAATGTAAAAATATAATAGTTAATATTATTTGAACACCTGGAGTCAGCAGTGATTAAAGACATTTCTACTGAGATGTACTTTATTTAACAGAACACATAAATTTATATTCTTGCTTAAAGTATTTTGAGTTGGACTTTAACATTAGGTTGGTGCAAAGGTAATTGCAGTTTTTGGCATTTAAAAGTAATGACAAAAACAACAATTAGATTTGCACCAACCTTATCATATCCCTGGAGAATAGGAACTCTTGAGCCCATCACTCAATCAAGATCTCAGCCATAGGAGCAGAAAGAGACCCAGACTCTCTCTCCCATTCTTTGAGGGATGGCAGATAAAAATTGCATCGATACAAGTCTATTAATTTCCAAACGTCTCACAGAACTCACAACTGTCTTCAGATTCCATTTTATACATCCAACAGTAGGCCCTAAGCAAGAGTAAATAAACGAAAAAAAGACTGATTAATAGAAAGTCTCCAAACTGAATCACTGAGGAAAAAAGTAATGAGAGAAACAGAACATGAAGCATGAAATACTTGTAGGACACAGACAAGAATATTTGCATACATGTAGTTGGCTTTTTGGAAGGAGAGGAGAGAAAAAATTAGGCAGAAATATATATTTTAAGAGATGAGGACAAAGAAAATTCTGAAACTAATAAAACACCTTAATTCATAGATGTAAGAAGTTTAGCAAACTTAAGTGGATTAAAGACAAATAAAATTCACATTAGATACACTAGAGTTGAATTAGACACACTTTATTGAGCTGCTGAAAGTCAAAGGCAAATAAAAAAAACATTTAAAGCAGTCAGGAAATGTGCATAAGATTTTCAAATGAATTAACTTGAGACTAACAGCTAATTTAGCAAAACAAATGATTAAAAATATTTCACTGTTTTTTAACTTCCGAGTGGTGAAAAAAATAACTTTCAACTATAAAGCTACAGCTAGGAAACACTTACTTTAATCACGAAGGTGAATTGAAGACAAATGAACAGTCAAAGGCTTGATAATAGGGGGTACACTTTAGAAAAAAAAGGTAATTACTATATGCCTGATATAGGCGATGGAGGGATGGAGGCAGCAAACCACCATGGCATGTGTGCACCTAGGCAACGATCCTGCAAGATCTGCACATGTACCCAGAACTTAAAGTGTACCTTACACTTAAAAAAAAAAAAAAAACAAAAAGGAAAATAATACTCCATTCTTTTAAAAAAATATTTATTAGAAAATTTAAAATGCACACATTCAGTCATCAAAAAAAATAATAATAGAAATTGTAAAAAAAATTAAGCTAAACAAGCTCGTATGTTCTTCTTATCAAAGCACATGGGATACTGCTAAAATGTATAATTTACAGTATATTCTAGGAAAAAAGGAAGCATGGCAAATGAACATGTGCCCATTTGAGGAGGTCAGGAAAAAAGGATATTGCTTCCAGAGATAAGAGGATAAAGAAAATAATAAATTTAAATTCATGTATAAGTTTTTTGTGTATTTGAAAGTATTTACTCTATTTTTCTCTTATTTCTCTCCTCTTCTCTCTTGAACCCATTTCAAATAGGTTACCTCCTCACACTATGCAAACAACTCTTACTAAGATCACCAAGGTCTCCGTGATCCAATGATAATTTTTTAATCTTTGTTGAACTTTGCCCTTTGGTGCTTTTGACACAGATGATTACTCTCTCCTCCATGAAATTCTTTCTGTACCTGCCTTTCAGCACAGCTGAATATTCCTT